TTGTCTACAAGTAATGAAGAGAGCAAAGAGTTCTGAAACCACGTAGCGCGCTGGTCTTGTGCATTTTGCGCTCTCCCCTACGCTCTCACTGATAGCTTTTTCTCCGATGTCGCTAAATAGGGTAGAATACGGTAATGGTGTTGCGGTCAGTCAAAGAGACTCTCAAAAACGACCGGCGCGCAAGGTGAATGAGGTACTTTACGTAGGTTTAGCGCCTGGCAAGCGATTATCAGCTGGCAGCCCATATGGGCTGCCATCGTCCCAGGAGCACATGCTGTTGGCAGCCCATATGGGCGGCCATCGGCGTGAATGTGTTAAAGAACACACAACCGCTAATGGCTACTGGATTATCCTAAAAACCATACACCCCAAATCTGTAAAAAAGACAAGCAAGACAAGGAGTTTGATGCAGCCCTTTGATTCAAATGTGTGGATACAATATGAAACTCCAAAATACTCACTGCAAAAGACGAAAAAACTTTTTCCAAAAGCTGCAACGATATTGCGAAGGCTTTCGAAATGTTTAAAAGTTTGCTGGCGAGCTTTTGGCACACACCAACGAAAAAAACGACGTGGAAAGTCAGTTAGGTGGCAAGGAATTTCTTCGCTCTTATTACGACCGACATCTCGTCCACCGCACAACCTGAAGCGACTGCTCACGTAATCCAGCCCTTACGAAGGCAAATGTGGGAGGAACGGTTGCAGCTACTGCTGCTGCAGCTAGTGCAGCTACTGCTGTAGAACAAAATACGCCGATTGAAAGGTGCAGCCTATCTAATAGAATTCCAAAGCAAAAATACGCGGGAAGAAACAAGAAGACCCATCGATAGGCGGTTGGGCGAACATCGGAAGACTTTGCAAAACCGTGTTTCATGGCAAGGTCACAGTCTCTCAATATAACAAAGACGAGTTACGTAATTACTTCCATCCACTTATCGCATGACTGTAGTGATCAGCGCTGCGAAATGAATGCAGTTCTGACACGAAAAACAAGAATACGACGTGGATAGTCAGTCAGGTGGCTAGGATTTCGTCGCTCTCATTACGGCTCACATCTCGTCCACCGTTTGACCTGAAGCCCGAGTCAGGAGTGTGGCATCACCCCTCTGGTCGCATTCCTGGAAATATTAGTGATGGAAGGGCCTTCTATGGTCACCTAATACTGACTCGTGGCTTCCAGGATAAGGATATGGGACTAAGGAGTAGTTTCTTCTTCCACGGGACAAGTCAGTTGCGGTAAGGTTTCAGATTTATGAGTTGCGGGTGAGACATGTGCGTCAACACAGTTCAAGTGCACTGGCTAAATGAAGTTTACTATGAAACTTTTCACCATTGTCGGGCTTGACAAAGGCGTTGAGTGCCAGCGTTCGCCAACGACGCTTTTCAAACTTTTGGAAACCCCCTGCAATACTTTGGAACTCTTTTGAAATCTTTCGCGCAAATCTTTTGCAATGAAATATTCAGTCTCATATTGTGGTAACACTTCTTAATCAGCATAAGACTCCGAGACGAAACAACATTGCACCTCTTTGGATTTGTTGCTGAATTCCACAAAATAATCATGGATAGATGTTAAAAATCCCACAAATCAATTTACATAGAAGCGCTGACATTTATGGCACGTCCTAGCTCTGCGCTTTTCCCACTCTTTTAGCAATTTGATGCAGAAATTCATTTTCAGCAAATTCAATTTGTAACCAACGTGATGAAGACACATGAATGGAGTTGAGTCAGTGGGAATTTCTGTCATCGACTGCCCTTCAGATATTCTACTTCCGAAAGATCATTACCGAAGTGGAGAGATAAGGTTGTTGCTTGAATATGCTTGTTTTATCGTTGAACTGTTTGAAATACGCACAAAATACCGTATTTATGCAAAATAGCTAGGAACTGTAGAAGCAGGGTGAGTTACGAGTTGCAAATTCCGCAGAAAGCCGGTTGTAAGGCTCGCGAATACAGCGGAAGGATGAGAGCCTTATCGACTCTTCTGTAAAGATAAGAACAATCAAAAGATCGCTCAGGAAGGTCAGATAAGACCTCTTGAATTTGCAAGACGGTCTGAGGAAGTTCAAAACCCCTCATCATCCCACGATTATTGGTTAAGTGTTGGGAACAGAAAAGAATGAAAAATTTCTATTCTCAGAACGTTCCGGCATACAAACTTTGAGTCTGCCCCTACATTTCAC